AGCCTTGGTGGTTCTATGATTCTGTGACTCTCCCCAGGCAGATGAGAGCACCACACTCAAGCTGCAAAGTTTTGAACATTCCCACCCCTTTTCTCAGAGAGATGAAGCTGCATTAGAGACACAAAGCCTCACCTTGTCCCTCAGTTTCCTCTCCTTCCTCTCTTGCCGTCAGGTAGTTCACAGCTGCATATTCCAACACCGAGAGGAAGACAAACACAAAACTGACCCACAGGTAAATATCCACTGCTTTGATGTAGGAAACACGAGGCATGGAGGCATTCACCCCAGTGATGATCGTGGACATGGTCAGCACAGTGGTGATCCCTGGGAATACACCAGCAGAGACATCCTAAGATGGTTTCAAACCAGATTCTTCAGCACATAAGCTGTTGTTACAATTTCCTGACACCTGAATTTAGCTTGCAGTATTGCTTTTCACATTTAGGCCATGGGTTTCGTTGCCTGAGGAGGGTCCAGGCAGCCCTAACTGGGATTTCCTTGTCTTTTTGGTGAGCACAGCTCTAATTCTGGTCTCAGGGAGTTGCCAGCCTGGTTCCTCACCACACCACAGCCTCCCACCCCACGGCCAGGCAGCAGTGCTTTGACCCCACTCTGGGCTCAGGACAGTCCCTGGAGGGCTGTACAAGTGCCTAGATGTGAACTCAGTCATCCTTGTGGGTCCCTTCTGCCTCCAGATACTCTGTGACTCTGCAGTTCTGAGTTCAACCCCTCCACAGCATGGACACAAGCAAAGCCTGTGTGCTGCTGCTTCCATCAGTGTCTCCAGGTCTGGTGGTTCTTATGAGCTCCTGGGAAGTCACAGAAATCACCAACTGACTCTCACACCTGGTCTGTGCCTTCCCTGAAGCAAAAGCAGAGGATAAGGGAACACACAGGGCAATGCTGCCCCACATTGCCCCATGGGTGAGCACAGTGAGAACGTCATCCCTGGCTCTGAGAGAAGCTCTCTGCCCTCCTCTTATTTCAGGGGCTAATTTTGTCATGTTAGTGATTACTTTGAATGTTGAAATGATGTAAGCACAAAGGACTGAATTAACAGGAGTATCTTCTGAAAAGCCACGGCCCAAACCCTTATGCACCTTTTGAAGGTGTCTCAAGGCAGTGAGTGCTGTTTCTAAACTCAGTGATGGACAACTCACCCATTGCCATCTCTGTTATGCCTCTATATATCTTCTCCATGGAGGGATATTATTTGAAGGGTAAATAAAATCCTGAGCTATGTTGTCTGGAATAAGTGGAATTAAGCTTGAGCTCAGAATCTGCCCCAACCCTGGCAGTGTTCACAGCCAGGTTGGATGAGCCTTGAGCAACCTGTTCTGGTGGGAGGTGTCCCTGCCCAGGGCAGGGCTTGGGGCTGGGTGAGCTCTAAGCTCAAATCCAACCCCTAAAATCCTATGAAAAACACAAACAGCACTTTGCTAAGGCAATGCATCCAATTTAGGAGAAGATTTATGTCCATGCTCCCATGGTGACTCCTCTGAGATATGGCTTCATCCTCCTGAAAGAACTGCAAAAGAGGAAGCTGAATCCCTCACCTTGCAGTGCAAACTCTTCCAACAAGTCAAAGGACATAGCTCACCTGGCTGTGTTACCTGCACCTTCCCTCCTCCAGCAAAACTCCTGAACCTAAAATATCATCAGGGCTGCTAATGCTGATTTTCACCTTCTCACTACCTGAAGGCTCTGAAGGCTACTGACACTTTGGCTGTATATGTGCCCTGTCTCTGCTTACAGCAGAGTGGGGTTGTTTGCTCTCTGAAGCACCACATGCATCTAATGCTTGTGCAAACAGGGAAAGCAGTTGGCCTGGCACTGCAGGGCAGATGGAGAGTTTGCCCCATGGGCAGTTCCCTGCGTGGGGGACATGTGTGGCTTAGCTGATTTGTGTGCCACAAGGTGCATAGCACGAGGGATTTCATCTGGGTGGTCAAGGCTGTGGTTGCAGCAATAGTCTCTTAGTTCTGTTGACTACAAGATTGGTTTTACCTAAGGGGACTCTGGCAGGAACCGCTCGGCGATCGATCCAGAAGGACACCCAGGACAACATGACCATGAGGGTTGCAGGGAAGTAGGTTTGGAGCAAGAAGAAGAAGATGTGTCGACGTAAAGTGAAGTTTATGTAGAGGCGATTGTACCACCCTGTGTGACAGAGAATGAACAAGAGAAGTTACACCAACACCAAACTACTTTCAGATAACTTGGTGATGCTTCAGGGGAAAACTGTCTTGAAAAGCCTTGAGCAACCTGCTCTGGTGGGAGGTGTCCCTGCCCAGGGCAGGGGTTGGGGCTGGATGAGCTCTAAGATCCATCCAATCCCTAAAATTCTATGATTCTGTGATTCATGCTAGGGTTTGGTGTGATCTTGAAGAGGGATTGTCTTTCCACACTACATTACTGTCCAGATGGAAGTCTGTAGTAGGGACAATCACCTTGGTATAGAAGAGAGGCAAGTCTGATGGATGATCCTCCATGGCCAAGGTCAAGAGAGACAGTTTGCACCTCTTCTTGCCCCAGCCCACACTCTGGCTGTACCCACCTGTGCTGCTGTAAAAGGCAAGCTTCGTGGTGGTGTGAAACTCCTGAATCAGGAACTGGGACAGTGATATCCTCTCATCTGTTTTTAGGGAATCATTCCCATTCTTCCAGTAGAGCATAAGGTCATCTTCAGTGTAGGCATCTAGGGGAGCAGAGCAAACCTCAGAATGGTACAGTGAGGATACCAACCCCACAGCCCACACAGCCCTCCTGGCTGCCTGAGAGCTCCCAGCTGAAAAGGTCAAGAGGAGACTGGGGGTAATGGGAGGAACAATCTCTCCATGGTATGAGGCATGCAGGAGGAAAAACTCTTGGGTAAACTGTCTATGATGCACATATTAACATTACAGGTTATTGGTTATAGGTATAAAATGGGGTTTGAACAGATGTGGAAATATGGTAATGTTCATCCTTTCAGATGGGTTTAATAGCAGCTCTTCCCAGCCAGGGAGAAAAACAAATCACATGTAAATTCATTAAAACAGAAATAAGAAAATAATTTCTTATTGCAAGGAGAAGAGAGGAGAAAAATGAGAAAGAACTTGTGAAAAGCAGAAAGTTTGAAATGTTGCTAGGTTAAATCTATCCAATTCATGTGCACATCATGCCTGGGACAAAGGGTGTAAGTTGGGTTTGTAGGAGCAAGAAACATGAGAGGAAGGTGATTAATGTCACTGCCCCATTGTGGTTTCTACACCAGGGATGAACAGATGGTGCATGTGAAATGTGTAGGGCAAGGGTGGTGCAGTCACCATCCCTGGAGGTGTTTCAGAGGTGTCTGATGTGGCACTGGAGGATCTGGGTTAGGGTTTGGGGGTTCCAGCAGTGACAGGTTCATGGTTGGACTGGATGATCTCAGAGATCTCCTCGAACCTTGATGGCTCCATGATTGATCTATGTGTGTGAGGACATCTGGGCAAGCAGGTGCTGTTGGAGCCTGCTGACCTGCAGGCAAGTGGCCCAGGTCCCTGGAGGCCTGGGTGGCAGTGGGGCAGCCTGGCTGGCATTCAGGGACCCTGGCAAGACAGTGCTCACAGCCCTTTTGTCAGACCACTCTGTTGTTGCCAACACCATCTCATTCTAGTGGAAAACCATGGGCAAGGAATTTTTCTTAGAGTTGGAGTCTGCTGACTTTGGTTAGATCTCCCATGAATGTATCAGCAGTTTAATTACTGGTATAATTAAAACAGTTTGGATGCACATGGGGTGCAGCCCTTGGCTTCCTGCACCTCCAGTTTACTTACAGCTTTCAATCTCCAGGGAACATGTCTGTGTGTCCAGGGGAAAGCGACTGAAGTCCATGTTGCACATTGCAGTTACTGTAACCCTAGGAATAATAAACACCACTCCATTAGAAACTTGATTTCTCATGTGACTGAAAAATAGTAAAGCTCTAAGTTTGGTCTTTCATTAAGCATCTACAGCCAGTACCAGTCAACTAGAAATCATAGAATCATAGAATCAAC